AGTGGCTGGCTGTGTACCCTAGTGGCTGGCTTTGTACCCTAGTGGCTGGCTCAGCACTTATGTAACTCTCTTAATAAAAGGAACTGCAGTCCTCATACATTTTGGGACTTTGGTGAACCAACTCTGCGAAGCTGTTGGTCTCTCAGCTCCCCCTCACAGCGAGTAAAACTCACAACGTTGTCAGGTGTGGTTCTTTTCAGGTCATTCTATCTGTGTCAGTTAGATGACAATAGTGGTTGCTGAATAACGTATGTTTCATCACCAACATTGGACAACAAGCTGTACTGGGCACACAACTATAGGCAGCTGTACAAGAAGGCCTAGAGTAGACTGTACTTCCTGTGGAGGCTCAGGTCTTTCAACATCTGCAGGAAGCTCCTGAAAATGTTTTACCAGTCTGTGGTTGCCAGTGCTATTTCGTACATTGTGGTGTGCTGGGGGAGCAGCACATCAAAGAAGGACTTACACAGATTGGAGAAGCTGATCAGGAAGTCCAGCTCTGTGGTGGGCATCAAACTGGTGACAGTGGCAGAGTAGAGAACACTTGGCAAACTGCTCATCATCTTGGACATTGCCATTCATCCACTGCACACTGTCATCAGGAGTCTGTTCGGTGACAGGCTCCTTCATCTGAAGAGCAGGACCAACAGACTTAAAAACTCCTTTGTCCACTAAACTGTTTAACTCTTCAGTTGGTGGGACGAGGGTGAACAAACAATGGATAGGGGAGTAAGTGTAATAACCCAACAATAATTTCAGTGCAATAACCACAATCTCCATTTGCATTACTATTATATTTCAATAAACCACTGTATTTATATTTTATACTCTATTATAAGTATATGCTTATGTTTACGTGTATGTACATGCAAACACAAGCTTTTTGTATATATATTCAAAGATGAATTTCCTGAACGGCATGCCATATTATATATATATATATATATATATATATATATATATATATATATATATATATAATATGGCATGCCGTTCAGGAAATTAATCTTTGAATATATATACAAAAAGTCTGAATATTAATACAAAAAGTCTAAATATATATAGAAAAATCCTGAATATATATACAAAAATATGAAGCGTATTTAACTACACTGTCCGTATCGGTGCGCAGCTACGCCTGCACAACCTATTACCAAACAAGTATTTACAACGAATTATAACCTTTTTAATTCACCCTTATATTAACATTACGCTACTCTGAATCCTTCACAACAGTAAGCTTAGATCGTTAACCATTTAATGACTGTAATCTGTTCTTGTTCTCTTAAACGTTTATGTTCTATTACACAGCAAAGATTTCTGTTTACTTTATTTGTATTTATATTCAGGATCTTTGTATATATATTCAGACTTTTTGTATATAAATATTCAGATTTCTGCAGAAAGTCTGAATATATATACAGAAGTTCGAAGCATATTTGACCACACTACCCTTATTGGGGCGGAACCACGCCTGCTACCACCACCGGCAAGGCTTCTGTATCTTGTGCCCACGTAGCGGGGCGTAAAAAGTATTTTAAAAAATAACAGCAATGCGAGGTAAGCAGCTTCTATATAATAGTCTTTATTTATTCATTTTTCATTGCTTCTCTTCTCCCCTTTTCTTTTTTTTCTTTTTTTCCTTTTTTACGGACCAGGCTTCACTCGCAACATGAAAGAAAGAATGAGCAACACATTTTCCGCGAATCAACAAATAACCTGTGAACAAATCAATATTTTAAAGACAACACAGTACACTACGTCATATGACAGCTATCAAAGAAAATATCTTCAAATAAAAGTTAACATAAATCACTCTGCATTATTATTGCTCTCTTCCTTTCTGGAAGACGTAAGTAATGATCGTCAACACAATGGAGAGCGTTATAAAATAATAACATGTAAAAAGAATATATTTCCAAACAAGTATTTATAACGGATTATAACAATTTTTATCACCCTTAAATTATCATTTCGTTACTCTGAATCCCCCAGTGATTCAGTGACCTTAGGTCGTTAACGATTTTATGACTGTAATCTGTTCTTATTCTCTTTAATGTATTTATTACATTTTCTATTACACAGCATTCACTGTTTTCTTTGTAATGCTTGGGTTACAAATATAACCATGACATATGCAGGGGCTGTTTTATGGGGATCTCCTGTTTTGCCGGGTCGGTGGTAGTAGGCGTAGCTGAGCCCCGATTTGGGCACTGTGGTCAAAAGGGTTTCGATTTTTTGTATATATATTCAGGATTTATATATATATTCAGGATTTTTGTATATATATTCAGACTTTCTGTGTATATTTATACAGTGGTATGAAAAAGTTTAGGCACCCCTGATCATTTTCAAGATTTTCTTTTATGTATCATTGATTGTTCGGAACAGCAATTTCAATTAAATATATCATATAGCAAACAAACACAGTGATATTTAAGAAGTGAAATGAAGCTTATAGGATTTACAGAAAGTGTGCAATAATTACTTAAACAAATGTAGGCAGGTGCTACTAAGTAGCTCTTAGTAATAATGGTTGTATAAATCTGGTCAACATCATACACATATATCTACTGGAACTGCCTATATACTGCAGCTAACTATTCATCTAATTTAATTATTTAATTATTCAACTACTTATGCTGTTCATATTTTAAACTATTGTTCAAGGTACATAATATATATAAACCACTGTTATATATATGTATGAGGATGTATATATACAACAATGGTTAGCAATGGTATAATTGAAATATAATAAAAAATAATAATTGAGATTGCCATCAACAACACCATACATGCCAAGAATAATTACCTACTAATCTACTAATACTACTAACACTATCTATCTACTTCTACTAACCTGCTAATCTACTAAAATCCACTAGTCAGGTTTCCCATTTTCATTGTCAGTGTGCTGCTACTCATGTTTGCATTTTATTATATTTTAGCTATTTGTGTGTTTTTATTGTTGTTTTGGTGCTGTTCTGCTGCTGGAGACTAAATTTCCCTAAAGGAACTCCCGAGGGATTCATGAAGTGCTATCTATCTATCTAAATCTATGTAGTTTGGCCTTGTCTAGGATTGCTAGTAAGCATTACTGGCTTGTTAGCTTAGCTTAGTTTAACATTAGTAATGCTAAACTAACAAGCTAGTGCTAATTTAATAGCATATCTTTTTCAGAGTCTAATTTTTACAAACAGACATCTTCCCGCAAACAGTCTTGACATCAACATGTATTTCTTTGCCTTTAATAAACATAAATCTAATACAAACTTAAATTTTCTTTCCCACATTCAGGCTACCCACTCAAACACAATAGTAACTATACCCTCTTCTAAAACTAAAAACTAATGAATTATTGCTCACATTTGTTCTTCTAAAAGCCAAACTGTCCCCACCTGCAATGGTGTGATTTTAAGATCCAGGTGATCCCCTTTTTTGATTTTTTTTTTCTCTTCTGTTTCTGAATTGTACTTAAATAATTTTGTTCTGTTCGTGACACTGACCCAAACTATATATATATATATATATTGTGCTGCTTTTCTGGGATTAAAAACAGGGGTAAAGCTCTTGAAGCTTTTGGAAACAATAAAAACTTCACATCAACAAGCAGTATTTATTTCCGGCTGGCTGAAGCACCAATCCCATTTAACCTTCCCATGCTCTCAGAGCCATTTTTGTCATAAAATGGTTGTCTGTGTATGGTGTGTTTGTACTTGAGACATTCATTATTGAATGATAAAGTGCACAGACAGTCATCCTTTTTGATGACTAATAAAGGTATGTTTAACTCCCCTGATCTCACAGAAGGGGAGTTTTTCGAACACGAAAAAAAAACCTTTTAATTTCATCAAAGATATGAGTTTGACTTCCTACAAAGAGCAAGCCATGTCACAGTTTTTTTCCAAGCAGCCTTTAGTGATTTCCAACTCACCAAATTGGGCAGTGGTTGCTTGTTTCTGTGGCAACAGATAGGCAATGTAAAAAATAAACAAGACTGACTGTATATTTACTTCACCTGTAAAAGCACTGATGCAATTGGGGAAAAGTTAAGACCAACATGTCAGTTTCAGTTGGATAACAGTAAATCATCGCCCCTGATCTTGTTATTTTATGAAAGCCCCGTGCTACTCTGATGTGTCAGAAAATGTCAAATGACATTGCAAAGTCATCGCTTTCTTCCTTTATATATCACAGTAGAGAAAACTTTGCCTCGAACCAGAAAGACAAACAAACACACTAACTGTAAGCACGGTTTTTATCCCTTTTCTATCTTCATCTCTTTACTATTGGAGCCTTTGGAGAATTGTAGCCGTCATATGATCCAGTGCACAGATATGAGGGTAATTAGAGTGAAAAGGCATTTGTACCACATGGTACAGCAAAGAGAAATCCAGATAGTAAAACCTTGAGTTTGGGTGTTTACTCAAAAAAATACAATACACACAATGTATTTGAAAAAGCATTTTTAAATTATTAAATAAATAAATACGGCACCTTTTTTAACACAATAATAATAATTTGAGACATTTTCTACCAAGGAAATAATGGCTCTTAGGAGTCCTTACAGGATCTCTAATACAGCTTCTGTAATGTCAATCTCTCCCTCATATCCTCCACTCTGGTTCCAGCTCAGTGTGACAACCATCTGTCAGTAAGATAAAAAAAAGAAAATCTCAATTTTTAAAGTTTGCGTGATATTTCACCCCTCCTACTCACACATACACAAACTTTACTGGCTTAGCTCTGGAGCCATCACACACACATACAGAAACACACAACCACACACATTGTAAGACCATGTCTTTGCACTAATGACTTAATGGTCAAATACACTGCACATCATTTACAATATTCCACAGTTGAGCTCTGGTTTCCCCTCAGGGCATTGGTTTGGATGGATTTCTTTAACTCTGTAAAGGTTTAAGCTGGATCCAGCCCAGAGTCTGTCTTTACTTCCCACATTTCCCTCTTCCCCCCAAACTGGGGCCCACATTCGTACCAACATCCTGTTCCCTTTTGCAATATATAAACATAGAAATCAGCCCTTTACAATCCACAATCATTTTGCTACATTTCAGATTCTCATCACTTATTCCTCCTGCACTGTACTGAGATACAAAGGCTCAGCAGTGCTGGAATATTTATTCTCTTTGCACAAGTCCATCTGTTCTTGAAATCTTCCTTTCTGAATCATCCTTAACTCCCGCTGCAGCATTGCAGTTAACACAGTGCCTTAATATGTCTGTCCAAAATATGTCTGCTGTTGCTTTTAAGCTGCATCTCTGCAGAAGCATGTTGAGGGAGTACACCATGCGTTCACGCAAGTCAGTGGGGCAGCCAGACGTCAGCAGGGAGCTAAGCTGGAAGGTTTTCGAGACGCGGTCCCCGTTGATGTATGTCAGCATGTACTCCTCACTCTGGCAAGTCAAGATGATCTTGGTGTGGTCCTGGTAGAAGTTGATCTTTGGGAGGTAAATATAGAATGTGTTACACTCACAACAGACAACTGCAAATTGCTCTAATTGTGTCTGTTATTTGTTAAACTCTAAATTATATCCTTCTTAATTGTGTTTAAGCAGGCACAGCAACGGTTGTGCTTTCTGCGATGATCTGTTTGTTTACCTGGAATGTGCCATCATTAAAGAGCATCATAAGGGCACGGTCAGACTTCAGCCACTGCAGCAGGTAGAGTCTGGGCATGTGTGCATCTGTCATACTACTGAGGTCCCCGCCCTTAGAAAGCAGGAGAGGAACATCACGGTTAGACAAGCTAAAACTTGACAAAAACATTATTTGTTATGCTTTAGGTGATTGTAAGACATAAAGAAAAACAACTCTACAGAGTGAAAGATCTGTAGATTACAGGTGACAGATGAGGAGTGGAGGAGGAGGGATGTTCACTTACATCCATGAGGTTTTCCTCCATGTATTGGGAAAAGTATTTCAGCACAGTCACTTGACCCACGAAGTTTTCAGGAACCTCACAGGTAGGGAAAACAGAGCATTGGCCCAACTGTGCATAATAATGGATGGTCCTGGAATTACAGCGGAGACCAGGAGTTAAACATGTACCTGAACTAACCACAGTAAAAACAAACAACTAAAACATGTACTGTTTCAAATGTTTAAAGTGATGAGGATTAACTTTCACTGAACTGTATTGCAAAATCGTACACAAAGGTGCATACTTTCTGTCAGGTAGGAGGCTCATATGACTGCCATTGTTGAAGAGAACTCCCACGGAGTGATCAGACAACTGGTAGCCAAAACCATACTTGTTGGAATAGTCCACCCATTTTGTCACCCACTGAAGACTACTGCTAGATAAGCACTGAGGGACATCTTGTGCTGCAGGGTAAAAACACAAAGGAGGAGGATTAGGATACGCCTACATACAGGAAAGATTTGAAGAAATAAGAATGCTGACTGTTCTGAATTAGTCTCAGTTGAAGCCACATGATAGTAAGGTGTATTAACAACAGAAGGTGCAATATATTTACACATAAATATATAAGATAAAATAAAATACCAAATTCTTTTTCTTTCGGCTTTGTCCCTTTTTTTTCAGGGGTTGCCACAGCAGATCATTGATTTCCATCTCTCCCTGTTCTCTGTATCTTCTACTCTGACTCCAACTATCTGCATGTCCTCCCTCACTGCATCCATATATCTCCTCTTTGGTCTTCCTCTCTTTCTCCTACCTGGTTGCTCCATGTCCAACATTCTTCTACCGATGTATCCACTGTCCCTCCTCTGCACATGTCCAAACCATCTCAATCTGGCTTCTCTAGCTTTTTCTCCAAACCTTCCTGTCTGTGTTGTCCCTCTAATGACCTCATTCCTGACCCTGTCCATTCTTGTCACTCCTAAAGAGAATCTTAGCATCTTTAACTCTGCCACCTCCAGCTCCACCTCCTGTCTTCTGCCTATTGCTACTGTCTCTAAACCATACATCATGGCTGGTCTCACCACTGTCCTGTAAACCTTTCCCTTCACCTTAGCTGACACTCTTCTGTCACAGATCACTCCTGACACTTTTCTCCAGCTGTTCCATCCTGCCTGTACTCTATTCTTCACCTCTCTTCCACAGTCTCCGCTGCTCTGAACAGTTGATCCTAAGTACCTAAACTCCTGCACCTTCACCACCTCTGCTCCTTGTAACCTCACTATTTCACTGACCTTCATTCCTCTTCTTTCTAGTGCAAACCTCCACCTCTCTAGGTTCTCTTCTAG